ATGTAAGGGCCTTCGTAATTAGAATAGGGTTTTGGGGTATATAACACTTCAATGATAATACGGAACCCCCGAAATAGTGTAGGTAATTATCAAGGCGCCTACACTAACCCCGAAACTCTACTGCAACCCCTAAACCCTCCATTCTCTCAAGGATGGAATCCTGTTCGGGCCCTAAACCCTAAACCCTAAACCCTAGACCCTAAACCCTAAACCCTAAACCCTAAACCCTAAACCCTAAACCCTAAACCCTAAACCCTTCCTTGCGGCATACAAGCCCTACACTCTCAAGATCTCCAGTTCACCTCTAGGCGGCTGTGAATACTTTGGGGGGTACTTAGCAACATTGCTGAATTCTCTGATACGGTCGATGCTATACATCCTGCACTACCCATAATAAGGAATATGCCATAATTTCCATAGTTTACGGTCCTGATGGTCATGTAGGATGTACACTATCAACAGTATCATAATCCATCATATTCCCGAAGGAACAGCTAGAACTATGTTTTTTTAGCAAAGATGCCAAGTTCAGTATAGACTAAGCTGCAGACCTACAGCCAAACAAAACCTCACGGACAGGTATGAGTCATGGAAACCGCAGGACTGGCGCTGGAAAGGTTTTTAATCTTGCCATGAGGCACAATGACAGCATGATACGAGGGTTTAGAGCTTTAGGGTTCAGGGTTTAGGGTTTAGGGGTTTGGGGTTTTATAATATATTAGACTAGTGATACCTACAGGATATATAACCCCTAAGCTTTGCACGCCAAGCCTTGGAAATTAAAGCTTGCAGGCAGCAGTGAGCATCTTGCTCTTTGCCTCCCCGCCGACGGAGCAGCCTGGCAGAAAGAAGAGCCATACACCCTCAGGGTTTTCAGAGCCGGGCTAGGATTCGTAAGATTAGGGTGGTTCCTTAAGTTCCTTATGTTACATATTACAACTCCTGCACCACAAGCCCAGCTCACACTCTCTCAACAAAAGTTACGACGCCCTAAAGCTGAACACCCTATAGACCCTAAACTACGATGCTGAGGTTTATGCCTCTGCTGCCCCTTAAGAAGCAGCGCATCTGGGCCGCCGCCACCCTCGTTCGTGCTGCCTCCCGGCTTTGGCCGTCGGGTTGTTAGGATGTTTGGTATAACGATAGTACAATTATATATATATATATATACACATATATAGAACATGCTAGTATAGTGTAGTATAGTATAATATAGTGCAGTATAGTAGTGTAGTATAGTATACTATAGTGTAGTATAGTTTTGTTTAAAATGAACGCAATGATAGATTATTCTACAGCTTAAAATTATGTTCGCTAGGCTGCTTTGATTATGCTCAGGGTTCAGCTTGAGTTTGGTGTTTCCTTGATGTCTGCGAACAGACTCGGCAAGTGCAGCGAGCAGCAGGCACTGGGCAGATGAGCCGTGAAAGATTAGTGCATGATCTCGATGTTCAGGGAGTTGCAATGTTGTTTCCGGCATACCTATAGTCTCCATTGTAGTTCCTTCTTGGGGGTCACCTTATAGGATCCTCAATACAAAATTGGTTAAACCAAAAAAAGGAACTACAATGGATACTATAGGTAATAACCCTAAACCCTAAACCCTAAAACCCTAAACCCTTAGCCCTAAACCCTAAACCCTAAACCCTAAACCCAAACCCTAAACATTAAACCCTTTAGGTATGTCGTATTCTGGCCACTCCTCCACTTCAGACTAGCGGCCCTGGACCTCACTGCTAAGGGTTTGCAGAGTTGTCGGATCTGGCTTTGCATTGGATAATGGCTCGGGGTTTAGGGTTGAGGGCTTTGGGTTTAGAGTTTGGGGTTTGGGGTTTGGGGTTTAGGGTTTAGGGTTTGGGGTTTAGGGTTTAGGGTTTAGGGTTTAGGGTTTGGGGTTTAGGGTTTGGGGTTTGGGGTATTACCTATAGTCTCCGTTGTAGTTCCATTTTTTGCTTTCACCAACTATATATTTAGAACCCTATAAGGTAAGCCCAAAAAGGCACGACAACGGAGACTATAGGTAAGAAGCGAAGAAGTTTCAAGCTCCGAATCCGTCGTCAGGCATGTGATCAAGCAGATCCCGAGGTGATGTTCGACCCCTAAACCCTAAACCCTAAACCCTAAACCGTAAGGACATCTGGCAAGTGCCGCATCTGATCAGACATCCTGTAGGATGTATGTACGGCTCTTAGGTAAGCTTAGACTAACCCTAAACCCTAAACCCTAAACCCTAAACCCTAAACCCTAGACCTCTTGCACAAGTTTCCGGCCTTGAGGGCCGTCCCACGCATCAATGCCCCGCAGGAGGTAGGCAGAGCGTACCTTTTTTCGGCTGTAAAGTGCTGCTCTGGGGTGCTCTTTGACTTTTCGCTGGTTGTTGGAATATGGAATCTTCCCTAAACCCTAAACCCTAAATCCTAAACCCTAAACCCTAACGGTGGGGGATATCCCAAAGATGCACGCTTTGCTTGCTTTATACTGGGAGTAGAACGTCATCAGGAGCCCCAAGTCAGGAAACTTGTCGCTGGAAGCGCACATCAAAACTACACCCAGATCTGAGAATCCATGTGTGTCTCGTATATACTATGAGGCCTGAAAGTAGCTATATAGGAACCAAGTATAAACCGTAAACCCTAAACGGCTTAAGGCCTGTATATTCTATCAGTATATACTATGTATGTGTGTGTATATATATAATTAGTATATATATATATATATATACGTATGCACAATACAATGCAGGACAGTACAATACAATACAATATAACAAAATACAACCAATATAATACAATACAATACAATATAGTATGGCCTAATAAAATAAAACACAATAATATATAATCGTAATAGCTATACTAATACTAATAATGATAATAACATATTGTATATGTATATACATATAGGTACATGGAGCCTTAGGGTTCGGGCATGAGGTTTGGATCCTCGCCTCCTCCGTAGGGTTGCCGCGCCTGGGCTGCGAGGTTTGGGGCTTTGGGTCTTAGAGTTGAGGGTTTAGGGTTCGTTAACGGCTCAAGTTTTGCATTTTTTCTTGGTTTAGGGTCTGATTGGTTCGTTAACGGCTCAAGTTTTGCATTTTTTCTTGGTTTAGGGTCTGATTGAGTTGAGTTGAGGGTTGAGGGCTCAGGCTTTGCATTGTTCATGGTTTAGGGTCTTGTTTGAGTTTACCCGGGCCCTCGAGTACTTTAGCAGAGTCGTTATGGTCCTTAATAGTAGCTGGCTGCACCCGCTGAAATTTTAGCCCACACCCCTGCACCTTGAACCGCAAGCCCTGGACCCCAAGCCCAAACCATACAGTGCGGTGGTTAGGTCGGTCCGTCTATTTGCCGTAGGGTGGGAGTTACCCCTGACCCAAAACCTGCACCGCCAAACCCTAAACCCCAAACCCCAAACCATTCAAGCCGACGTCTGTGAATCTTCCTATGGTCTCCATTGTAGTTCCTTTTTGAGGTCACCTTGTAGGATCTTCCATATAAAATCCAAGAAAAAGAACTACAATTGAGACTGTACGTTGAACCATGATCCACACTCTTCCCGAATCCGGTAATGCTTCAACCTGAAGCATCCTAAACCCGAAAGGTCCGAATCCACTTGCCTACTAAACTCTGAACGGGTTTATGGTTTAGGGTTCAGGGTAGCCTGTCACAACCCATTTTTTCGGAGATGGCGGCTGCGCTGTCCTCCTGTGAGGTGATCTAGGGGAATAGTAAGCGGTGTTCAGGTGAAGTTTCGGGTCGATGTAGAGGCGGTAGAGGTGGTCTAAACAGAGCACGCTTTAGAAACAGCGTTTTAGGTTCCACCTGCAGGATCACGAGACGGAGAAAGTAAGCTGAAGCAGTGGTCAGGGTTGCCCGAGTTATGGCTATACTGGCCTAAACTCACAACCAGGGGCGGTTTGGAGCGGTCTGAGGCATACTGTACAACTGTTCTATGCGCTGCCCCCCTCGTAAACAACCGGGCATGGATCCGCCGGATCCGCATGGATCCTCCGATCCCGAATTCTAGCCCTAGAGTCCTAAACGCGAAGCCCTAAGCCCTAGATCCCAAAACGTGAAGGCCCACAGCTGTCCAAGCCAAGCTCAGGAGTATGAGGAAACCTCTCTTCGGTGATTTTGCCAGGGCCTCAGGCAACCAAAGCGAGCCTGAGATAGTATGGAATCCTATTTTTAATTTAATTACCAATACTCTTACTTTGGGGGGGGGGGGGCGTTTTTGCATCAACCGTCATAAGCAGATATAGCCGCCAGACCCCTTTTCTAAATGTCTAGGCCCCTGTTTCAATTGCAACCAGAACTTGCATCCTCAAGGCTCTGAGCGCTTAGTGACGTTTACATCAGCACACACGGAGCATCGAGTCCAGGGACCAAAACTTAGGGTCTAGGGTTTAGGCAAGACAAGCCGCACAAGCATGAACGATTGGATGGATCTATTTCGCAGTCAGTGTAGTCCTTGTCAAGGTGCCTGTTTTCTCCCTTCTAATTTGCACTGTGATGTTCTCTGATTCCCCAAGAAGTTGCTGCAAAGGGGCCAACATACATGTGCGGTGTGCTAATCTGCCTCGTTACCGATTTCATCCACTCCGCTGTCGAACACATCCTTATAAATACCCATACTAGTTTGACGGTTCCTGGTATAATCTGATACATCATATTACTCTATTATATATTTATACCCCAGAACCCTATTCTAACTGTTAAGGCCCCTACAGTAGTCGATGCACTGGGAAGTGTTGTAGACCGGGGATTTAGGGTTCGAGGCTCGAGGTCGGAACAGTGGGATTTTGGCCGAGTGTAGGGGCCTAACTAATTAGCAATACTATTTTGGGGGGTGTTCCTTGTTATAATTATAGAAAAACGGGCCCCAAAACCCTATTCTAATTACCCAGGCCCCTATACTAGGGCTCGGATCGCCTCACAGCTGGCGCTGTAGGAACACCGTAGCCCCAGAACCCCTTCGCTGCCCTACGGGGTATGGGGTTCGCCATGGAGACCGAGACGGATGCCTTGCTGACCGAGCACATAGCTGCTGTAATAATGCCCATGTTTGTGGAACATGGGCTTATCTCCTTGAAGGCTCTGCGCTTGTGTTTGGAGCAGCGTACAGGCTTGGATCTCTCGGGTTGCAGAGCACGTATCCGGTACTTGGCTGAGCAGGTTATGGAGACGATTACGTCTAGCATGGTGGTCGGATGTGGCTTGGGCCGATTGTCCGCGGATAAACTGGCTGAGCTGCACAATCCTTACGTTGGCGTTTGGGAGCCTTGCCTGACTCAGGCCAATTGCGAGGCTGGCCGGACCAGCTTTTCGTTTCGATGTGCTAGCGACGTTTTGGGGCCAGTTCCTGCTCAGAAACTTGCCCGGGGACGGATCCTTTTCCATTTACTGGGTGACCACTGCGACGTGTGCGAGAAGCCCTGGTGCAGTCAGAGCGGTGTACAGATCGACAATGCTTGCTGGGAGCTCCTTTGCCAAGAATACGGCATCCAACCTCACACCGGTGGACAGCTGCCTTCGGACAATACGGTCGGTGGTGGGGATGTCTTGAATGCCTCTTTCGATGAGACTGGTGTTGAGAAACATCATGGTACTGCGAAACACGTGGCTTGCAGACAGTTCACGATTGGGGATAAGATCGTCGGCTCAGTCCTGGAGCGAATCAGGCAGCTTGCCGGCCGCTGCACAGGATCTCAATGGTTGGTGTATGCAGTGCTGGCAAGGGAAGCACCAGGCCAGTAGGAACAAGGTTGACGTGTGCGGCGTTTGTGGATGCAGGTTGAGGGCAATCTTCGACTTGCGTCGCATTCGCGGGTGTCCCTTCTTAGGTTTTGTGGCAGGATGTGACAGGCATTATACAGCTTTTGCCACGCTGGGTTACGAGTGCCTGCATGCCTGCTTGCTCCTACCGCCTAGATTTCTGCTCCACTTCTGCAAAGCATTTGTGAGTGCATACTAGGCGGTAGTTGAGTCCCAAGCTGAATTCGATAGTGTTTGTTTGAATTAGGCACGTCCTTTGGACCTTCAGCCTGCCCGAAAGAAAGAAGGCCCCTATACTAAGGGGAGTTTAGGGTAAAAAAGGCTAAAGGGTCCTAGGTAATGTTATAGGGGATACTTCCCCAACTCATACCCTAAACCCTAAACCCTTACAGATCTCCTATGTAGACAAAGAGAGCGCCGAAGGCCAAGCTCGACAGCCGCAGAAACGCTCCAACTGGCGCGGTGCAGGTGTGGACGCCGCGGCTCAGGCCGTCGATCCGACAAGTAGTCTTGGCGAGGCGACATGTGCTGTGTGAGGTCAGCCTCGGCGGGAATGCATTCTCTGGGAAGACGTGCAAGAGGTGCTGGACAGCACCTCGTCAGCATCTGCACGCCAAAGCCGTGGGTAGACGAACAGACGGTGATGAGCGTCTTTTGTAAGACGGAGTATCCATCAACCTGCAGCACTCAAACCTCGAAGTTGGCGGTACGAAGCCATGGGTTGTCTAGACTGCTCGCAGGCGAAACCCAGAACATTCTCGAGCATAAGTAGCAGAGGCAGCAACCAAAGTTTACCCCGTGACTTGCTGCAGAGGTTGGTGGACGGCTCAGCTGATGCAGAGTCTCTTCGACGACGACTTCATCAGCGGCATCTCCGTGACAAGTGCGCTGGAATTCGTCGTACGGCGCTTATTGTATATGTGAAACAGATCTCCGAGCACTTGTACTGCAGCTGCGAAGCCTTGCTGCGGCACCTTCTGGCTGTCCGCGGGTTCGTGTACCAACACTACTCGCAGCATGCGAACCAGGAAGCCGAGGCTCGTCTTGCGTCGGCTCTACGTCCGAACGCAGCACTACGCCACAGTGGCGCAAGGCGGCAGCTGCAGCGGCGTTCGCTAAAAAAGGAGAGGGCCGGCCGGCGCAAACGGGAAGCCCAGGCTCGTGGTGCCAAGGCAAAAGCCAAGGCCCGTCTCCAGCGCCTAAAAGAGCTGGAAAAAAAGCAGCCAAGCAAGCCCAGGCCTGTTGCAAGTGCTGTGTTGCGCAGCATGGCAGCAAATATTTGTCCGATCGGAGATCGAGGACCTGAAGCGTTGGCGAGACAACGCCAAAGAGAACAGGATGAAGAAGCGCACTGACTTGAAGGCTCGTGCGAAGGAGGACGAAGCAGCCCAATCCTGAGCATGCTAAGCCCATATGGATCGAGAAGGGCTTCCGAAGTGCCGAGGCGCGCAGGGCTTTGGAGGAGCTGCGAAAGAACGACCGCACGCGGCAGCAGAACAAGCGTAGAAAAGATGCAGAGCTACGTAAAGAGGACAGGAGGGAAAGTGCACTGGCAAGCTGTTGCCTGCAGAATCAGAGACCATGCAGGCGGAGATGATGGCTTTCGGAAAAGACGAGGCACGTGTGCTTCCTAGCAAGAGTGCAATGCAGAAATGTTACAAAGCCGAGGGCTGCGATGAGACGCCGACAAAAGAAGGCCGCCAAGCGCAAGGTAGAAAGTTTGCATCAAGCCTGCAGCTTCAGGAATGAAAGAGAAGACACCCTCGCAGACGCAGGGCCCGGGGCCGAGGGACTGGTGCCGCCAGTAGGTGAGCGCCATTGAAGCTGCGGCCGGGGGCCAGCCAGGCCAGGGGGGTCAAGGCAGGGGGCCAGCCAAGGGCGGGTACCTTTTGACCCTTTGGGACGGACTTCAGGGCTTTCCCCGAGTTTAGGGAGCTTATTATAGGGGGGGCTAAATGATTACCAATAGGGTTCAGGGTTTAGGGTTTAAGGTTTAGGGGGTCTAAATGATTACCAATTCTAGTTTTGGGGAGTTCTTTCTTATCATGATAGTATAGTTTACTCCCCCCAAACCCTATTCTATGTAGCAAGGCCCCTATATTATGGGGGTTTCAGGTGGGGGAGCTTCGGCGGTTGAGGGTTTAGGGTTTAGGGTAGGTGAGGTCTTAGAGTTTAGGGTTTAGGGTTTAAGGGTCTTTGAGGAGTCACTGGGGCTTCCGGTATTGCATACCATACGTGCATACCATGGGTAGTTCTCTAAATTAGG